GGACTCTCAAAATAGCAACAACAAAAAAAAAATTACCTGGGTGTGGTGGTGCACACCTGTGGGCCCAGCTACTGCACACGCTGGGATGGGAGAATCGCTTGAGGCCAGGAGGTCAAGTCTGCAGTGAGCTATGATCGCAGGACTGCACTCCAGCCTGGGAGACACAGCAAGTCCCTGTCTCTAAAACAAACAAACAGGCTGGGCGCAGGGGCTCACACCTGTAATCCCAGCACTTTGGAAGGCCAAGGTGGGCGGATCACCTGAGGTCAGGTGTTCGAGACCAGCCTGGTCAATATGGTGAAACCCCGTCTCTACTAAACATATAAAAATTTAGCTGGGCGTGGTAGCACATGCCTGTAATCCCAGCTACTCGAGAGGCAGAGGCAGGAGCAGTGTTTGAACCCCGGAGGTGGAGTTTGCAGTGAGCTGAGATCGAGCCATTGCCCTCCAGCCTGGGCAACAGAGCGAGACTCTGTCTCAAAATAAATAAGTAAATAAAACAAAGCAAAACAAATGGGAAAGAGTGTTTTCCGGGAGGCCTGAAAGCAGGTGAAGATTACTTGGGGTGGCTGGAGGATGGAGTGGGTGGGGAAGAGGCGGCGCAGGAGAGCTGCAGAGGGAGAAGGTGGCAGTGCTTTGAGCCCACGGGACAGGGTTTCTACTTTTCTGGAGACAATATGGAGCCACAGAAGGATTTAGAGCAGGAGAATGAATGGCATTTGCTAAAAACAAAAAAGAAATCATTTTGGCCTAGAATGATCATATGACTCAAAGATGCCAAGCAGGGACTCACCCAGACCCTCTAACACCCATGTTCACAGAGCATGGTTCACAGTGGCCAAAGGCAGAAAAGACCCGGTGTCCACAGCGAATGAATGGCTGAGCAGTGTAGCCCATGCACACCGTGGAATATGACTGAGCCTTAAAAAGAAATGAAGGTGGCCGGGCGCAGTGGCTCACCCCTGTAATCCCAGCACTTTGGGAGACACCAAGGCAGGCAGATCACGAGGTCAGGAGATGGAGATCATCCTGGCCAACAAGGTGAAACCCCGTCTCTACTAAAAATACAAAAATTAGCTGGGCATGGTGGCATGCACCTGTAGTCCCAGTTACTCGGGAGGCTGAGGCAGGAGAATCGCTTGAACCCGGGAGGCAGAGGTTTTAGTGAGCTGAGATCATGCCACTGCGCTCCAGCCTGGCAACAGAGTGAGAGTCCATCTCAAAAAAAAAAAAAAGTTCTGGTTGAGTGTGGTGACACACGCCTGTGACCCCAGCACTTTCGGAGGTCAAGGTAGGAGGATCTCTTGACCACAGAAATTCAAGACCAGTCTAGGCAACATAATGAGACCCTGTCTCCACAAAAATACGAACAATAAAAACCTTATCTGGGCATGGTGGTGTGCGCCTGTAGTCCCAGTTACTCGCGAGGTGGAGACCAGAGGATCACTTGAGCCTGGGAGGCTGAGGCTGCAGTGAGCTGTGACTGCGCCACTGCACTCCAGCCTGGGTGACAGAGTGAAACACTGTTTCCAGAAAAAAAGGATAAAAGATAAAAAGAAAGAAATGGGCTGGGCTCGGTGGCTCCTGCCTGTAATACCTTCACTTTGGGAGGCAGAGGTGGGTGGATCGCCTGAGGTCAGGAGTTCCAGACCAGCCTAGTCAAAATGATGAAACCCCGTCTCAACTAAAAATACAAAAAAATTAGCTGTGCGTGGTGGCAGGCACCTATAATCCCAATTACTCGAGAGGCTGAGGCAGGAGAATCTCTCAAACCTGGGAGGCAGCCTTGCCAGTGAGCCGAGATCGTGCCACGGCACTCCAACCTGGGCAACAGAGTGTGGTTCTGTCTAAAAGAGAAGAAGGAATCAAGTTCTGACGCAGGCTACAAGGGTGGATGAACCTTGAAAACACTACGCTCAATGGAGGAAGCCTCGTCTGCAGAAGGACAAATACCGTATGACTCCACTTTTATGAGCTCCCTAGAGTAGGCAGATTTCTGCAGACAGGATGGAGAATCAAGGTTGCCAAGGGCAATGGGGAGGTATTTCTTAATGGTTAGAGGGTTTCTTTTTGGGCTAATAAAATACTTTTTGGATGGCCGGGTGCAGTGGCTCATGCCTGTTAATCCCAGCACTTTGGGAGGCCAAGGCAGGTGCATCATGAGGTCAGGAGATCGAGACCATCCTGGCTAACACCATGAAACCCCGTCTCTACTAAAAATACAAAAAATTAGCCGGGCGTGGTGGCACGCGCCTGTAGTCTCAGTTAACGGGAGGCTGAGGAAGGAGAATCACTTGACTCTGGGAGGCAGAGGTTGCAGTGAGCCAAGATCGCACCACTGCACTCCAGCCTGGGAGGCAAAGCAAGACTCAGAAAAAAAAAAATTTTTTTTGGAAATAGTGGCAATGGTCACACAACACTGTGAACGTCCTTAACACCACTGAATTGTACACTTCAAATGGTTAAAATGGCTAGCCTGGGCAACAGAGCAAGACCCTGTTTCTACAAAAACTTTAAAAATTTGGGCCGGGTACAGTAAGCTAATGCCCAGCACTTCGGAGGCAGAGGCAGGTGGATCGACTTGAGGCCAGGAGTTCGAGATCAGCCTGGCCAACATGGCAAAACCCCATTTCTGCTAAAAATACAAAAGATTACACGCCTGTAATCCCAGCTGCTCAGGAGCCTGAGGCACAAGAATCACTTGAACCCCAGAGGCAGAAGTTGCAGTGAGCTGAGACTGCACAACTGCACTCCAGTCTACACAACAGAGCAAGACTTTGTCTCAAAAAAAAAAAAAAAAATTAGCTGGGAGTGGTGACACACACCTATAATCCCAGCTACTCGGGAGGCCGAGGTGGGAGGATCGCTTGAGCCCAGGAGTTCGAGGCTGCAGTGAGCTATGATTGCACCACTGCACTCCAGCCTGGGCAACAGAGCAAGACTCTGTCTCTAAAAAACATAAACATCAAAATGGTTAAGATGGTGAATTTCATGTTATGTGTATTTTACCACAACTTTTATTAAAAAAGAGAGAAATGAACAGGCCAGGCGAGGTGGTTCACGCCTGTAATCCCACCACATTGGGAGGCTGTTGTGGGTGGAACACCTGAGGTCAGGGGTTTGAGATCAGCCTGGCCAACGTAGACAAAACCCGTCTCTACTAAAAATATACAAATTAGCCACATGGTGGCGGGTGCCTGCATCCCAGCTACTTAGGAGGCTGAGGCAGGAGGCTCGCTGGAACCTGGGAGGCGGAGGTTGCAGTGAGCAGAGATCACACCACTGCACTCCAGCCTGGGCAACAGAGCAAGACTCTGTCTCAAGAAAAAAGAAAAAAAAGTGCAATCACGTTGGTTTCTGTGGGAGATCCAGGATGCAGTAAGTTCAGGAGATATTGGGGGCTCAGACTAGGATAAGGCCAAAGGCCAGGGTGAGAAGTGGGAGGTTGGGGGCGAGCTTGGGGGCGTGGTTTGGACGTGGTTTGGAGGCGGGGCTAAAAAGGCGGAGGGGAGGGGAGAGGAGATCGAAATGGAAGATGAAAGACGGAGCTAAAAAATAAAGAAAGATGGAGCAGGCGGCTGAGCTCCTGCACCCGTTCTCTCGATGCCCAAGCACCCCAATTCACCTCCAAGTCCTCGTGGCCTGATGCCTCCAAACCCGCCACCCCTTAGGGCCCAGCCTGGGGTGGCCCCTAACGAGAAATCCCAAATGGGGAATCGATGCCACTTCCTCGGTACAAAGATTAAGGAGAAACTGGGTAAAAACACTCCGTCCCCGCAGCCGTTCCTCCACGTGCGTTCGCTTACAAGGTGCAGATATAACACCTGCCTTCAAATCCAATTAAGTCAGAATCAGTTCTGCTCCTAGAATTACATTACCCATTGGAGACAGCAGGGGAAAGGCGGGAAAAATGGCAAAAAAAAAAAAAAAAAAAAAAACCATACAAAACAAAACGCAGACCTATTTAGAGATTTCCCTCTAAATGGATTTTAATTCTCTCGATTTATCAGAGGCCAGAGGAGCTGCTGACAGCCTGCATTTGGTGTACACATACCCAGTTCCAGCCACAGGGAGGGGAGAGGAGGGATGGAGCTTATGCTGTCATTCGCCTCCAGTGTCGGAGGTCTGGGGCAGCCCAGAGATGGGTTCGAATCCCAGCTTTGCCACTCCCTGGCTGCATGACCTTCCGCCAAGCACCGCACCCTTCAGAGCTTCAACCTCCTCATCTGGAAAATGGGGCAATGACTGGGCTTATTTCGGAAGACCCTTGTGAACCATGGACTGGATTATACAGGAAGATTCAGGTTAAATCCTCAGCACAAAGCTTGGCACTTGGTGAATGCTCGGTGAGGCAGGGATGATGGTGACAAAGGTTCGCCATTGTTATTTTGTTTGTTTTTTGAGAAGCCTTTTTGAGAAGAACTTCTGGCCTCAAGTCAATCCACCTGCCTCGGCCTCCAAAGTGCTGGGCATTAGCTTACTGTACTCAGCCCAAATTTTTAAATTTTTTGTAGAGACGGGGTCTTGTTATGTTGCCCAGGCTCTGTCACCCAGGCTGGAGTGCAGTGGCGCCATCTCGGCTCATCGCAACCTCTGCCTCCCAGGTTCAAGCAATTCTCCTGCCTTAGCCTCCCAAGTAGCTGGGGTTGCAGGTGCGTGCCACCACACCTGGATAATTTTTGTTATTTTTAGTAGAAATGGGTTTGCACCATGTTGGCCAGGCTGGTCACGAACTCCTGACCTGAGGTGACCCACCCGCCTTGGCCTCCCAGTGTTAAGGTGACAGGCGTGAGCCACCGTACGCAGCCCATTCTTGATCTTTTTGTCCAATCAGAGACCCAGCCCTGTGCTAGGTTACTGCAGGGAGAGAAGAAAGACGCACGAGGCTCAAGTCCTGCCTTCGGAACTGGGAGGCTTTGGGGAAGCAGGGAAGCAAGGGGCAGGATGGTCCAGTAGGTGGACAGGCCTCAGCAAAGCGGAGGTGGGACTGAAACCGGAATTTGCTGGGACAAGTGACTGAACGTATCCGTTCTGTGTCCCATTTAATCAGAGCGCTCCGGCAAATCCACGACACCAGAGGACCAAAGGCAGATCATGATCTAACCTGCTCTCTGTCCCGGGAAGGCCCCTTTGGCCTTGAACTTTGCAGGCAGGAAGAAAGGTCCTCTGCTGCTTCCCCACAGTATCACCCACCTGATTGGAGCTGGGGCCCAGGCATCAGAGCCCTGCAGTCAGGTCAGACAGTGGCAGAGATCATCAGGGCGCCCTGCGAAACACCCCAGCACTACGGGAGGCCAAGGTGAGTGGATCGCTTGAAGTCAGGGGTTTGAGACCAGCCTGGGCAACATGGTGAAACCCTGTCTCTACCAAAACTACAAAAAAATGAGCCGGGCGTGGTAGAGCCTGCCAGTCATCCCAGCTACTCGGGAGGCTGAGACAGGAGAATCGCTTGAACCTAGGAGGTGAAGGTTGCAATGAGCCGAGATCGAGCCACTGCACTCCAGCTTGGGTAACAGAGCGAGACTCTGCCTCAAAAATGAGTAAATAAATAAATAAAAAGGACAGTTATCCTTGAGAGGGTCTAATTGCACGGAGGCACCAAGGAAGCTTCTGAGGGTTGGAATATTCTACATCTAGCTCTGGTGGTAGCCAAATGGGCCTATGTCCATGTCACAATTTCTCAAATTAAAAGAGCACTTTAATATATCTTTAAAAGAGAGGGAGGACTCAGAGAGGGACAGAGAGAGACAGACAGATAAACAGATATTGAAGACACAGAGGAAACAGATAGACAGAGACGGAGACAGAGGCAGAGAGACAGGAAGAGGCAGAGAGAAAAAAAGGAGGAGGAAAAGGAGTTTCAAAGCAGAAAGGCGGGAGGAATGAGGAAAATGGAAAGAAAAAGTGGGGCCAAAGAGGGAGGGGGGGAGGGGGAAGGAGGGGGAGGAGGAGGGGAGGAGGGGAAGGGGGAGGGGAAGGGGAGGAGGGGAAGGGGGGGGAAAGGAGGGGGAAGGGGAGGAGGGGAAGGGGAGGAGGGGAAGGGGGAGGGGGGGGAGGGGGAGGAGGAGGGGGGGAGGCGGGGGAGGGGGAGGAGGAGGGGGGGGGAGGAGGAGGGGGGAGGGGGGGGAGGGGGGGGGAGGGGGAGGGGAGCAAAAGGCCAGAGAAGGGGAGGGAGAGAGCGGCCGGGAGGCAGGAAGCCAGGAGCCCTCCCAGGCCAACGTGTCCTTAATGAACATGTAGTTTGTAGATGCAGCAGAAATGAAAACTCTGGGCTTCTGCCCATTAATGTAATGGCTGTTAGTCAATCACTCTTCAAAGGGAACCCCCACCCCTCCACCCTGTGTGGGGAGAGGGGGGTGGCCTGTGGGGAGCAGATCAGAGGAGGTGGTTTTAAACTAATGATGTCCTCAGGGACAGCCAGAGGGACAGTTCTGGAGAGAATAGAACTTTCCCACCAAAACCCCTGGCTGGTGAATTTCCAAGCCCTGCAAACAGCTACCAGCCCAGAAGACAGCAGCTGGCGAGTGGGAGTTCCAGTGTGCAAGGCTAGTTAGGGGAGATGACAATGGCTCCGAGAGAGATCACGGTTCCTTAACTCACCCTCGGGACGGGGGAAGCCTTCCTAGAAGGGCTGACATCTAAACCGTGCTTACATGTATCCTTTGAGGCAAGCAAGCAAAAAAGGAAGGAAGAAAAGCCTTCCAAAGAGAGAGAACAGCTTGTGCAAAGGTTGAGAAGGAATTACGCTTACAACCATGAGCGTGACTGGGTAGGGAGTTGGGTGGGGATGGGGGGAGGGGGAGCTGGGGAAGTCAGCAGAGCCCAGACCACTCAGGGCCTTATAAGCCACACTGAGGAGACGGGACTCTGTCCTGAGGGCGATAGGAAGTCACGGAGGATGACAACAGGTGGACACAGTCCAGGGTGATAGTTTAAAACATCTGGGGGTCACTCCTATGATATTTTTCTTCCTCAAAAAGAGCTTCCTGGTCCTGGAGGCATGCAAAATAAGGTCACACTAACCACCCAGGGGACCCTGGGGGAGATTTCAATACCAGGTGGGGCTGACGCTGGGACTGCAGAGTCCCGGTTCTCAGGCAGGAGGGCAAGATGCTGAGAGGTTTCCTGTGTTACTAACCTTGCTTGGGGGGGTACACTGGCCCTCTGGCTTTGAGACAGTGAGGAGCAGGGGGTGTGCATGACTCAGGAGTACAGGCGCCAGAGTGGGAGGCTTGAGTCAGCGCCTAGTGTATACGGCTCCCAGCCACTCTCAGCTGGAGGTGACTCACTCATTCATTTGGCCTTGAGTGTAGAGGCCTGAGGTTGGTGGGGGGAGGGAAAGACCACCCAACTATCCCACTACTGTTCACCCTTCAGCCACTGTGGGTCCAGTCCTGTGCAGGAACCAATTCACCTCCCCCACAACCCAATACTTCTGGAATGAAATCTGTCAGCTCCAAACAGACCTTGGTCTTGTCCTCTCCACACTCCTCCTGATTCCAGCCTTGATCTGCCCTCATTGCTCATCTAGATGAGCAGGGTCACCTCCGTCCTGGTCCCTGGATCCCACGCCTGCACCCCACAGCAAGCAGCCAGACAGCTCCTGAGAACCTTCTGTGACTGAGCGTCCAGCCCTCCTCTACCCGCAGTCCTCCATGGCTCCCATGTCCCTGGGGGTCAAAGCCCAAGTTGCTAGTAAGCTCTAAAAGGCCTTGCACGACCTGCCCCATCCCTCCCCACCCTCTGCTCCCCTCCTCTCCCCCTCCTCACTCCACTCCAGCCACACAGGCCTCCTCACCCTTGCGCCAGGCTCAGCACTGTGCCTGGGGACCTTTGCACAGGCTGGTTCCCTCCACCCGGAACTCTTCTCCCAGTTCTTCCCACAGCTTCTTTTTATTCTTCTTAAGCATCACCTCCTCAGGAAAGCCCTCCTTGATTGATGGTCTAAAGTGACATCCAATTCACTTTCCACCTCATCCCCTTGTTTTTATTTTTATTTATTTTTGAGATGGAGTCACACTCTGTCACCCAGGCTGGAGTACAGTGGCGCAATCTCAGCTCACTGCAACCTCCGCCTCCCAGGTTCAAGCGATTCTCCTGCCTTAGCCTCCTGAGTAGCTGGGATTACAGCTATGCATGTGCCACCACACCTGGCTAAATTTTGTATTTTTAGTAGAGTTGAGGTTTCACCATGTTGGCCCGGCTGGTCTCAAACTCCTGACCTCGTGATCCATCCGCCTCAGCCTCCCAAAGAGCTGGGATTACAGGTGTGAGCCACCGCGCCCGGCCCTTCGAACAGCTTCTTTTTAGTCTCTCTAAACATCACCTCCTCAGGAAAGCCCTCCTTGATTGATGGTCTAAAGTAACATTCAACTCACTCTCCACCTGATCCCCTTGTTTTTATTTTCTTCGTTTTTCCTTTTTTTTTTTTGAGACGGAGTTTCGCTCTTGTTACCCAGGCTGGAGTGCAATGGTGCGATCTCGGCTCATTTTTCTTTTATTTTGCATGTATGGTCTTTTGAAATAACCTGCTGTATCTACCCATCTACCTCTGTCTTCCCCCACCAGACCTTCCCGTGAGTCTGGGCGTGCCTCGGCGGTGCCCACCGGCGTCCCCAGCACCCCGTATGGGGACATGGTTGTTGACTGACTGAATGGCTCTTCACAGCAGCCCCGCGACGTGGAGGCTTTTATCTACCCCATTTCACACAGTAGGAAACTGAGGCTCAAACACATGGGGCCCTCCCCGCCCCCCTCACCACTTGTGGGTGCTACAAGGATGTCTGAGGATCACGTGCGTGCCCTGGAATTCTGTGGGAGGAATGCTGCGGTCTCAGGCAGTTCCACAAACGGAGGTGTGTTCTGAGTGGGGGAGGGGGGTGCGCCTGTCCATGCTGCCTGGGGGATAATGTGTGCGCGGGGGGAGGGGTGGTAAAAAGCCCTTGGTAAGGGAGCTGCTAATTTCTGTGGGGGGGTCACCCTCTCATTCCCCTTCTGCTCTTCCCACCCCCTCCGCCTCCCCCACCAAGATGCCCAGGCCAGGGGACCCTCGTGGGAGGGGGACGACTCGGAGTAGGGGGCAGCGTGGAGTTGGGGGACAGGGACATTCTTCCAAAGACCCACTCACAGCCCCGCAGATATTGCAAATTCCCTATTTCCTGCACTCCCCCCTCGCTTTCCCTCCCCTCTCCTCCCCTTCCCCCGTCCCACAGGATCCTCCGGGCTGACCCCTGCCACCCGCTCCGGAGTTCCCGGGAGCTTGCGCTCCGGTTCCGCCCATCGGACGCCCGCAGCCAATGGCCGCGCCGCCTGATGAGGTAATGCACCCCCTCCGCGTCCCCATTGGCCAGGCTGGAGCCCATTCCCTTGTCCCCTGTAAGCGGTGGAGACCGTGCGGGGCGCGGGTGGGGTGCGGGCATCCTCCCACCCGGGCGCGGTCCTCCCAGGGCGGCACCTGGGCACCTGCGTCCCCCCATCCCCCTCACTGTGGGAACCCCCACTTGCCCCTCCCCCTCTTCGGGTCCAGGAGGGTCAGGGGCTGGACTTGGAGGACTCCTGCCTCCAGGGACATCCTAATCCTCCTGTAGGAGCGGAAAGGACAAAAGACACCCCCATGCCCCCAGCAGTCAAGGACACTTGCGCATGTATGGAACGCCCACTGTATGCCAGCCCCCAGACCCACTGGGGATGCAGCGGTGGCAAAATCAGCCCTGGGTCCCTGTCCCCACGGGGCTCCCAGAATAGGGAAGGGTGACAGGCCACCAGCCACGTCTTCCCCCTCCTAGTCGATGCCGGGCTGGAAAGTGGGGAGGGTAGGCAGAGGCTGAAGGGGACGTCCCCTGTTAATGACCCTGTCCCCGTGTTTATTTACTGTGGCCTCCAGGAGGCTGTAGCTCCTTGTTCACGGCTTTATTCATTTAATAAATATGTCTTCAGTCCCCACCGCCCCCTCCACTGCCTCTCGTTTTGTATATTTCTTCCTTTTCCTCCCCTTCTGTCCCCATAATGACTGGAATTTTTTTTTTTTCTGAGAGGATCTTGCTCTGTTGCCCAGGCTGAAGTGCAGTGGTGGGATCTCAGCTCACTGCAGCCTCAACCTTCTGGGCTCAGGTGATCCTGCCACCTCAGCCTCCCGAGTAGCTGGGACTACAGGTGCATGCCACCATGGCCGGCTAATTTTAAACTTTTTAATAGAAATAAGGGCTGGCTACGTTACCCAGGCTGGTCTCAAACTCCTGGCTTCAAGCGATCCTCGTGCCTCGGCCCCCAAAGTTCAGAATGGGCTTAAACAAGAAAAATTAAAAAAATGAAACTTGTTGTTCTTGAAACTGGGTACGATTGTTTTGTCTGCCTGCGTTTCTTTTTTTCTTAACTTGCTTATTGAGGTGAAGCTGCTTTATTGTGGGCTCTGCCTACCAGGCTGGCTGGGGTGCTGGAGTGAGAAGGGGGATCTGAGGAGCAAACCAAGGTCCCAGGGCCAGCCTAGGCCTCCACAGCCCGGCCTCTGACGACGCGGATGTGGTGGATGAAGTCCCGGATGGTCTCCGATGTTGCACCCTGGCCCCCGATGTCTGGAGTGTGCACATTCTCATTGTCCACGGACGCCAGGACAGCCTGACGGATGGAGGTGGTGTGGGAGTGCAGCTGGCCAGCAGGGTGGCCGTGAGGTTGGCGATGTTCTTATTGGCGATACTGCCGGTGTTCCTCATAGCCGTTTTAAACACCGCGTACACGTGGCCACAGTTGGCCCCAGTCACAAGGCCTGGGCCTCCGACCGGTCCTGCGCAGACATTGCTGACAATATTACCATAGATACTGGGCATCATCACGACATCAAACTGCTACGGCCGCGACACCAGCTGCACAGTGGTGGTGTCCACAATCATCTTCTTGAAGGTGATCTGGGGGTAGCCAGCCGCCACCTCCCTGCAGCACGGGAGGAAGAAAGAGCCTGTCGCCCAGTTTCATGGTGGCCTTGTGCACGGCCGTCACTCTCCTGAGTCCCCTATCCTGCGCCAGCTTGAAGGCATACTTGGCACCGCGCAGGGACTTGGCCTTGGCGATGACCTTCAGGCTCTCCACCACTTCCGCCACACTCTGACGCTCCAGGCTGCTGTACTCGCCCTCCGTGTTCTCCCGGACAATGGCGATGTCTGTGTCCTTGTGCCGGGTCGCCACGCCCGGCAGGCTTTGACCTTGGACGACGTTGGCACAGGGGTCCAGGCCGGCGCGAAGAATGTTGTTTCGGGATTTGTGGGAGGGTGGCAGGTCATGGTTGGTTTCGATGTTGCCCTTCAGGGCCACACGGTTCCGGCGGGTGGCCATGATGGCGTTGCGAATGTCCTCATCGTCAGAGTCCACCCGTGGTTTCAGGCGCGCCTGAAAACGGCCTTCACGTGCAGCACGAGCTCCGGCCCGATGCCATCGCCTGGGATCGTGGGCACCGTGTCCCGCCCGCCATACTTGGCTGATGGAGGAATCGTTCGTTGTCAGGAGATGCTCCTCGACCGGGCCTCATGGGCGCCTGGAACCTCCCAGGGACTGCAGACACGAGCCGTCCTCGGCAGACCCGAGGGCTGGCCCGAGCACTTCGGCGCCATGATGGAAAGTGATGACGTCCGCACGTCCCGACACGCAGACACCGGTCTCGCGAGAATTCGACAGCTCAGACAGCACTCTCGCGAGAATTCGACGGTATGCAAAGTCCTCTCCCCGCCCCCACCTCTCTCTTCCATGACCCTGCAAAAAACATGATCCCATTCCTTTTTATGCCTGCATAGTATTCCATAGTGTGTGTTTATGTACCACATTTTCTTGATCCTGTCTTTGATGGGCCATCGCGATACTTTATTTGCATTTGCATTAATTTTGAGTTGTATCAAAAGATTGCAGTCAGCCGTGCATGGTGGCTCATACCTATAACCAAAAATCCCTTTGAGAGTTCAAGGCAGGAGGATTGCTTGACCCAGGAGTTTGAAGCCAACCTGGGCAACATAGCAAGACACCATCTCTACAAAATATGAAATAAATTATCCGGGCATGGTGGCACATGCCTGTGATCTCAGCTACTCAGGAAGCTGAGGTGGGAGCATCACTTGAGCCCAGGAAATGGAGGCTGCAGTGAGCCGTGGTTGCACCACTGCACTTCAGCCTGAGCAACAGAGCAAGACTCAATCTGTTTAAAAAAAAAAAAAAAAGTGAGGCCAGTGGATCACTGGAGATCAGGAGTTCAAGACCAGCCTGGCCAACATGATGAAACTCCATCTCTATTAAAAATACAAAAATTAGCCAGTCATGGTGGCACACACCAATAATCCCAGCTACCTGGAAAGCTGAGGCAGGAGAATTGCTGGAACCTGGAAGGCAGAGGTTGCAGTGAGCCAAGATCATGTCACCGCATGCCAGCCTGGGCCACAGAGCAAGACTCAACCAAAAAAGAAAAATAAAAAAATAAAGAAAAAGAGAAGGAAGAAAGGAAGGGAGGGAGAAAGAGGGAGAAAGAGAGAGAAAGAAAAGAAAGAAGAAAAGAAAAAGAAAGGTACAGCACAGTGGCTCAGGCCTGTAATCCCAGCACTTTGGGAGGCCGAGGCAGGTGTATCACCTGGGGTCAGGAGTTTGAGACCAGCCTAGACAACATAGTGAAATCCCGCCTCTACTAAAAATACAAAAAATATCCGGGCGTGGTGGCACATGCTTGTAATCCCAGCTACTCAAGCGGCTGAGGCAAGACAATCGCTTGAATACGGGAGGTGGAGGTTGTACCCAATCCAGCCTGGGTGACAGGGTGACACTCCATCTGGAAAAGAAAAAGAGGGAGCAGGTCAGATGCTGTTTAGCTTCATTGCCGAGTTTTTGTTGTCGGTCGTGGAATTTTTGGTGCTCCCTTAAAGTTTGCTCCTGGGGAGAACCCCTAGCCCTGGACTGGAGAAGAGGATTCCAGCACCCGTTAGCTCTCTGAGACCCCTGTCATTAACTGCCCCCTCTCCTCCCAGGTGTATCTTTCTGCTCTCCATCAGTCACCACTGTTTCCTCCGCCTTTTTTAAAACGGGTATTTCGAATCCGGCACCTTCCACTCAGCATGGACGCATCTGAGATTCATCCTGGCGGGCGCGTGTTTCCACAGTCTGTCCTTTTTGATGGCTGAGTCGTGTTCCAGCGTCTGGGTGACCTGCTGTCCGTTTCCTGAACCGCCAGCGGAGGGGCATTTGGGGCGGAGACACCCGGCAGTGGATGCCTGGGTCCTACCGTGTGTGTTTCACCTTTTCAGGAACTGCCAAACGGTCCCCAGAGTGGCTGAGCCATTTTGCATTCCCAGCAGCCGTGGAGGAGCGCGCCCGTGAGCGTGGATTTTTGGCGTTCGTGTATTTTCCCTTTGGATCGGCCTTACGGAGGTGTAATTTAAGGATACGGTCCGATGGGCTTTGACAAATACGTAACCACCAGCTTCTTCCAGATGTACAGCAATTTTTTTTATCACCCAGGAAGCTCCCTCAGGACCTGTGTTTCTGTTTGTTTTTGAGATAGATTCTTACTCTGTCTCACCCAGGCTGGAGTGCGGGGGCATGATCTCGACTCACTGCAGCCTCCACCTCCCAGGTTCAAGCGATTCTCCTGTCTCAGCCTCCCGAGTAGCTGGGATTACAGGTGTGCACCATGACACCTGGCTAATTTTTGTATTTTTAGTAGAGACGGGGTTTCACCATGTTGCCCAGGCTGGTCTCGAACTCCTGATCGCAGGTGATCCACCCGCCTCACCCTCCCAAAGTGCTGGGATTACAGGTGTGAGCCACCGCGCCCAGCTCTTTACTGTTGAGACAGAGTCCTGTTCTGTCGCCCAGGCTGGTGTTCAGTGGCACAGTCTCGGCTCACTGCAGCCTCCATCTCCTGGGTTCAAGTGATTCTCCTGCATTAGCTGGGATTACGGGCGTGCATCACCACGCCCGGCTGATTATTATCACTGTTTGTATTTTTAGTAGAGACAGGGTTACACCATGTTGGCCAGGCTGGTTTCAAACTTCTGACCTCAAGGGATCTGCCCTCCTCAGCCTCCAAAAGTGCGGGGATGACAGGCTTGAGCCACCGCGCCCGACCTGATATTTGGTTATTCATCCCCTTTATTTATGCCATTAACCATGAATATTCTCATGCTTGGCAGTGTTTGATTGGGGTGGGGATGGGTTACCCCGGGGCCTGCTGGGGTGTTAAATAATCTATGCTGAGTGCATCTAACCAGCATCCTAAAATCCGAACGTTCTGAGTTCTGAAATGCACCTGGCCCAAGGGTTTCAGGTGAGCTCAATTATTATTTATTGGGCCTACTGTGTGCATAAATCCTTTCCCCTTCCCCTTCCCCTCCCCTCCCTTCCCCTCCCCTCCCCCTTTCCTTCTCTTCCCTTCCCCTTCCCCTTCTTCCCCTTCCTCTTCCCCTTCCCTCCCCTCCCCCTTTCCTTCTCTCCCCTTCCCCTTCCCCTTCCCTCCCCTCCCCCTTTCCTTCTCTCCCCTTCCCCTTCCCCTTCCCTCCCCTCCCCCTTTCCTTCTCTCCCCTTCCCCTTCCCCTTCCCTCCCCTTCCCTCCCCTTCCCCTCCACTTCCTTTCACTTCCTTTCCTTTCCTGCTGCCCAGGCCGCAGTGCACTGCTGCAATCTCCACTCACTGCAACCTCCGCCTCCCAGGCTTACGCAGTTCTCATGCCTCAGCCTC